CCAGCATCCAGTTCTCTGGGAACAGACCACGGCGCTGTTAATGTCACAAAGGCAATCCAGTATTGGCATAGAGAAAACCTATTAAGAGCAACAACTGTGTGACGCTGGCAATATTGTCCGTGAAAAACTGAATATTGACTCACCATAAGAACCAACATTGTGCCACTTGTAACCTTAGAAAAGAAATCTGCAATTATAGTATAAACCCTAAGACAAATCAAATATTGGTGTGCCACAAATATATACTAAATGTGATAACTATACCTCCACTAATAACAGACTAGAATTTAACAACTATTCAAAGATATTTTTAATGAAAATTTCATGGGATAAAGCACCCAGCTATTAGTGTGTATGCTTCCAGATCCATGCACAGGAGCAGGGCTGGCATTTCTGTACCACAGGGACTGGGTCACAGCCAGGGGTGGGCTCCTGGTGCTGTGGAAACCAAGACACACTGGACCTCCTGTGTCTTGCTTGCATCAAATATCAGGGCATCTCAGGTGGCCCAGGTAAGCCTTGCAGACCACAGCAGTGTGGCCCTGCTGTTTTTCTGCTCTCATTTATCCCAGCTGGGACGTAGCTGGGGGCAACATCACCATATGCATAACTGGGCCTTTGAGATTCAGCTACACTACAACTATGTTTTCACATCCCAAGTGACCTGGCCTAGAATCTTGGTGGGAAAGTTTCCCAATAAGACCTTACTCAGTGGGCCAGCAAGCTGTGTCACCTGCAAAGCCAGGTGCATCTGGCAAAGGAGCCTAGATGCTACCTGACTGTGGGTGGTGGTGATGGTACTGTGGCCTAGGCAGTGGCAACACAAGAGGCCTCACCATCCTCAAGAGAGGGCAACATCCAGTGGCACTTGGCTACTGACTCAATGGTACATTCCCTTTCCTCCTACCTCCCAATTAACAGGCCCACAATGGGACTCTTTATTACAACTCCAGAAATTTGTATTTTCAAGCTTTACATGACATCAATGAAAGAAAGACAACACACATTCTTCCCCAAGTTTTTAGTGGAGAAGGAGACCAACTTTTCAGAGATTCTGACTCAAACCCCTGCCTGGCTTATTGGAAATGGGGGGATGTAAAAAGAAAAGTTTGAAAAAGTAAACGATGATAGAGGAGAAGGAAAAGAAAAAAGTGAGACAATGGATCCTTATGAAGTAGAAGGATGTTTATAGAAATCCTTCCTGTTCAAGAGAGGTGTATTTTTAGTTCTAATCAGTCCTTCAACTGATTAGACGAAGCCCATCCACACTATGGGAAGCAATTTTCTTCACTCCAAGTTCATCAATTTATGTGCTAATCTCATCCAAAAATATCCTCATAGAAATGTTCAGAATAATGTTTGACCATATATCTGAGCACCATGACCCAACCAAATTTATGTGAAAGTAACCATCACAATTAGGAACTCATTCAAAAGATATTTATTGAGTGCCCAATATGTTATGCTATATCTAAAGATATAGCAGTGAATAGTTGCTATTCCTTCTGGAATAAAGAATGAAAAGATAATAATAAAGAAACAGAGTAATTCTGAATTATGATAAAAACAAGGGGTAGGTGGTAGTGGCTATTTTAGATTTTTTATTGTTAAATTAGGTATTTACTATAATTTAAGTATACAAATTACTGTTACAATATTAAATATCCTAATAATAATTTCTTAAGGCTTCTAAGTACTAAGTACATTAAATTTTTAAATGATTTTTAGGTATCTATTAAAATGTTCATATTTTATTTTGCTGTTTTTACTGCATTAATCCATAGTGGATTAATACATTACTAGCATTCTAATTTTGAAACATGAAAACACCATGATCATTACATATTATTATTTTAATACCTGGAGGAATTAATTGTCATAATATTTGATTTAGGCTATTTCAAACCACAGCCCTTGGGCTACAACCTGTTTTTGTATAGCCTGCAAGCTAAGAATAATTTTTACATTTCTAGGTGGTTAAAAAAATCAGAGTAATATTTCACCTGTATGAAACTTACATGAAATTAAAATGTTGGTCCACAAATAAAGTTTTGATATTACTTTCCTATTGCCACTGTGAAAAATTACCACAAACTTAGTAGTCTAAAACAGCACAAATGTATTCTTTTAGAATTGTGGAGGTCAAAGTTTGAAATTAGTTTCATCAGGCTAATGTTGGCAGGGCTGGTTCCTTCTTGAGTCCTCTGACTTGCCTTTTTTGATTTCTAAAGCTACATTCCTTACATTTCTTGGCTCAGGACATCTTCCTCCATCTTCCTACCAGCAGTTTAGTATTTCTTTTTTTTTGCTACCAGGGATCAAATTCAGAACCTTGCGCCAGAACCACTGAGCTAAATCCCCAGCCCAGCAGCTTAGTATTTTAAATCTCTCTGTTTCTGTTGTTATAGCTCCTTCTGTCTTTCAGAATAGTGTATTATTCATAATAGACCAAAATTGGAAATAAGCCAACTGTCCATCAACAGGTAAATGGATACACAAAATTGTGGAATAGGTTTCAGCAATTTAAAAAAATAAATTGTAAGGAACAATATACTGATGCATGCCACAACATGGATGAATCTTGAAAGCATTCCAAGTGCAAGAAACCAGATACTACAAAAGATTTCACATTGTATGATTGCATTTATTTGGAACATCCAGAAGAGTTAAATCTATAGAGACAGAAAGTATGTTAGAAGTTGCGTGAGCACACAAATTGGTTCTTTTTGGGGGTAATGGAAATATTCTCAGATTATTTGCGATCTGGTAGCAAATGTTTGTAAATGATTGCTCATGGTTGTAAAATTACTTGAATAATATGCTTGAAATAAGTGAAGTTTTGGTATGTAAATAAAATCATTTAAAACAAGCATAGCTAGAAGACTAGCAGACATTGAAGAAGTATTAAGACTATAATTTGGGAAAACATTTATGATAAATGACCATGAATATGTGATTTTAGGAATTTATTTCCTATGCACTGTAACAGGAAAGAGAATTGGGATAGGGATAGAGTCATTCTTTCAGAAAATATTTCCCTAGCTGTGATATGTAATTGTAGTGTTAACTTGAATAAGAAACACCTAGCAGATTAGTTTCGCACAGTTCTGGGAGTGTCTGGATAATGGATTTACTGAAAAAGGAAGACCCAACATGGTGTGGGTGGCACCAAACTATAGGCTTGTAGTTTGGATGGGATAAAGAAAAGGGAAAAAGAAAAAAAAAGATAAGGAGAAAAAGAAGGAAGTCTCCTCTTTTGCTTCTTCAGAGGAACTCCATTCTTCACTGTTGCCTTTGGATGTCAGTCTCCAGGCTTTTTGCACAGACTCTTCAGCCTTCCAATGCAGACCCGTCAGTGTCTTAGTCACTTTTCTCCTTGCTGAGACAAAACACCCAACAACCACAAGTGAAAGGAGCTCACAGTTTGTAGAGGTTTCAGTCTGTAGTCAGCTGGCTTCAAGGCAGGGTGGCAAGGCAGAGGAGCATCGCAAAGGAGAAACAGTTCATGGCAGGGCAGGCAGAAGGCAGTAAAAGCCTTCCTTCTGCTTTCACTTTTATTTCATCCAGGGTACAAGCCTGTTGGTTGGTTCCACCTACACCCAGGATGAGCCTTCCCATTATCCACACCCAGAACTATGCTAAAGTAATCAATGGACTAGTTGTCACACATCCTTAATCCATATTCACATACACTAGATCCAGCCATCTCTGAAAAGCCCCACTTATGAGCTTCTGAGGTTGGGGGGGGGCATGCAGATATAAATCATAACATTTTGCCTATTATGGCTTGTACTGTATCCAGATGTCCCCCCAAAGCCTCATGTGCTCATAGGTGGGGCTTTTGGGAGGAGACTGGATCATAGGGTGTGATAGTCAGCAATGGATCAGTGCACTGATGAGTTTATTGCTGAATGGGATGTTGGGAGCTGGAGGCTGGTTGGAGGAAGTGGATCACTGCAGGCACGCCTAGAAGGATATCTCTCCCTCACTCCTCCTGCTTCCTGCCGTCCATGCCATGAGCTATTTCACCCCTGCCATGTCCCTATGCCATGCCACCCTGCCTTTGAACAGCCAAGTATGGATTGCACCTCTACACCCTGTGAACCAAAGTAAACCTCTCCCTTCCTTAAGTTGTGGTTGTCGGGTATTTTGTCCCAGCAAGGAAGAAAGTAACTAAGACACTGGCATTATGCCATACACAGGAGATTTACCATTACACACACACACACACCCCCGTCTTCATGAGGGAGTTTACAGCCTAGTGAAGAGACAGATTATCATAGTATGTTAGGTAACCAGGGAAATGGAGGCTGCCAACTGGGTTCTCTGCGCAGCAGGACAAGTCAGGGCAAAATTCCTAGTGGCAAAGAGACCCGGCTACCTAGAGCTGAAGGAGCCGCGGAAAAGACAACAGTAGGGTTTTGACTTTGATGGTGGGTGGGACTGGAAACCTTCAGAGCGTTTTGCTGGGTCACATTGCCACAGCATCCACTTGGCTGCTGTGTTGATGACACAGCGAAGAGGCAGGGACAAGGGTGGACACCATTCCAGTAGCTGTTTCCCGTTTGTTTGGAGACAAGATGTCACTGTGTAGCCCAGGTTGGCCTCGAACTCGCGCAATCCTCCTGCCTCAGCTCCCAAGTGCTGGGATTACAGGTGCAGGTGGCTGTTTCAATAATCAAGGCAAAGATCCTGGTGAGGCTTGGCCCACTCACGGGATTCTGTACATAACTGTGAGCAGATCCCGCGATTGTGGAGCGTGCGATGAGACTGGTCAGAGGTGACCCCGTGTCTCTCAACCCGAAGAACTTAGAATGGAGCGGCTGGAACGGCAAGGGGACGAGCGGAGGGATGTGAGACACCCCGCGGCTCCTCGCCCTCGCTCCCTCTCCAGTCTTCGCTACCAACTGACGTCAGCGTCCGGGCGGGAAGCGGATCCAGCAAGGCGGGCAGAGGACTCCCGCTCCCGGCGTGCCCCGCGGCGCGCCGGCGAGCCGGTGGGGGCGTGGCCTGTCGCGCGTGCGCGGTCGCGGGCCGCGCTGTTGAGGGAGGCGAGGCGGTCGCTTCGAGCGTGCGAGTTCGCTCCCGTTGCCTTCCTGGTACGTGTGGCGGCGGCGGGGGGCGACTTCTGGGAGGAGGGGCGCGGAGGCCGGGGTCGGTGGGTCCCACCGAGGGCGGCGCGCAGCCGGGCAGGGCCGCCTGGGCTCCCCAGCCGCTCCGCTGCTCGAGGGTCCTCCCGGGCACACGCGCGCTCTTTGGGCAGAAATGATCCCCAGGTGCCCTGAACCCCAGACTCCTGCTTCTGAATGTTTCCTGCTGCTCGTATTTACCATTGTTGGGTGGCCGGTGCCGACCCGACCCCCGGAAGACAAACTTAGTAACTAACGTTCACGTTTGTCCCGTGACAGCTGTCGCCGTAACAGGTACCGCAAAACGCGTTTCAATCAAAAGTCGAGTTTTTCTGGCCTTTTGACCCCTTAGCACAAGGTGTGGCAAAGGAGACTTCTGTGAGTAGTGTGAAACAGCAGCTACTGCATGCTCACTACCTGTGTACGCACGATACTGGATGCAGGTCCTGGATGGCCAGTGCATGGTCACCGTATCTGTCGAAATTCGGTGCTGTTTTCTCCATCTGCAGTGAAAGACATCAAGGCTGAGCCAGGCTTCAAAACCTCCCTTATCTGAGCCGAAAGGCAGAGATTAAAACACAGAGCAGGTTGCCTTGAGATTGTGCCGTGGGACAGTGGCAGTGTTTCTGAAGTAGTCAAGGACGTGCGCACCAGTTATGCTGAACAAGCTGTTCATCAGGAAGTCTGGAGGAGAGGAGTGTTCCCCAAACAAACTTCAGACCCTGTGTTGCAGAGTGGAACAGCACTCGAAGTTAAGATAGTGATTGAAAACACTCTCTAATTTTAGGCCCTCCTGAAATCTCACAAAAATTGCAGATGTGGGATTTTTTTTTTTTTTTAAGACATAAACCCACACAGAGAAATGGGCTCTAGGAAGCAAATGTCATTTTCTTTTTTTTTCTTAAGACAGGATCTTGCTATGCAGTCCAGGCTGGCCTTGAATTGATGATATAGCCCAGATTGGCCTTGAACTCAAGGCAATTCTTCTGCCTCAGCCTCCCAAGTGCTGGGATTACAGACGTGCACCACCCAGCCCAGTGAAGCAAATGTTTTAACAAACTTTGACATTATCCTAAATTAGCGGTACGGAATACTATAAAACAATTCTGTATAAATCACAGAATCTTGAAAATGCATAGAAACTGTCAGCACCCTACACCTTTGGAGCTGGGAGTGAAGGGGATGTTGCTGGGGATGGAAAACTTAAATAAAAAGGAAGTAGGTGAAATCTTTTAAAGAAGCAGTTAAATATCTGTATCCTGTCTCCATTTCACCCCCTTGAGTGCCTTTCCAGTTGTTAGAAGACTTAGATGGAAGCTTTTTATCTTGAGAAAGTAGAGGATTTTTGAACTGGGGGACTCAAGGCGAATTTATAGGGGGGTACTTTTATGAAAATAAGGACCCTGAAGACAAAATTCCTTCATTGTCATCCATTCACTTTCCAGAACTTTTGAGTCAGATTAATACCTTCCAGGCTCAAATAAGAGAATTCTGCAGCAAGCAATTGAGATAAGAGAGATAAAGATATACAAGTTGGTCATATTGATTGCTCCTGGGGATAGAAAGGAACTGGGCTGGGGAGGAGAAAGAATGTTTTCATTTTTTTTCTTTTAAAACTTTGTGCCATGTGCAATTACCTATATAAAAGAACAGTACAACCTGGAAAGATACATAGAAATGGGCGATACTGGTTACCTTCAGCCAGGGGAATCTGTGTGCAAGGGAGAAAGAAGTAGAATAGGAGAAACTTTCACTATCCTTAATATCTTTTGAACTTTGAACTGTATTATTTTCACCTGTTAAATGAATGTTCGTGGAGGGAAATAGGTCATTTATGGAGAGTCTGATGTTGACTATATCCTGAAAAATAAATTATCCTAAAATACAAAGGAATGTTGTATAATAGTCCCGAAATTTCAGTGGCTTTCATTTATGCTCACAATTCTGCAGGTCAGCTGTAGTTTAGATCCTGGATGGCCCAAGCTGGATCCAGACTTTGGTTTGCCTTTCATGTACGCTCCACGTGTCTTCATTCTGGGACATAGGCTGAAAGTGCAAAACTATCTGGAGCATGTCTGAGCATGTCTCAGAGTGAACGTGCAAGAGGGCTTCCTTCTCAGAATCTGCCATGTCTCCGCTCAGAAGCGGCACGTTGGATCTTTGTTTTTTTGTTATTGAATCTTTACCTATATTCTGTTAGTTAAACTACATCTCATGGCCAGACCCAAAGTCAATGAGATGAGATGCATGTTCTGCCTACGAGGCGGCATTGCAAGGCCACATGACCAAGGCTGCACACTTCTATTTCAGGGAAGCAGGATGATGAGCGTGATAGTGAGTTAACAGATGTGGAAAAGTGAGTTTGAGTACAGAGGAGAATGAAGGTGCTTATAAAAATGTGTGTTCAAGTCTATATTTTTAAAAATCAGTATTTTTGCCAAGACAGTAGCATCCTACTTTGAAGTGAATTAAGTTTTCCGTGTCAGGGTATCATGTTTATCTTATATGACCTCTGTCAGCCCCACATATAATGAATTCTGAGTGTCCACAAAACTGTAATATGTGATAAAATACACATTAAGACACAGGCTTTTAGAGAAATAGTTCTGAATAGGTGTACTTTAGCTACCGAACGTGTTTGTAGTTCTTGTGTCATACCCATGTCTGCAAACTCACCTTTCACAACAAAATATTCTTTTCAGGGACATGGCCTTTGCTTCTCAGATGTAATGCACTTTCAGTTTATTATTCAACAGTGAAAATGAGTCATACAGAGGTAATAATATTTCCGTATGTTCTCTATCATCAGTTTTCATTTATTTACTTGGTAATCATATGGCTTCAGAATACCTTTCTTATTTTCACCCTGCCCTGTGACAGGCAGTTTATTAGTCATTAAGAGGCACGACTCTGGAGCAGCTTGCCTGAGGTTGAGTCCTAGTGAGTAGCTATAAAAACTTGGGCAAGTTACTTAACCTGCTGTGCCTTATCTATAAAATGGGTATAATAATAGTGCTTGCATAGAATTATGAGGAAGATTTAAGTGAGCTAACATATATAAAGCTCTTACAGTACGTAACATACAGTAAGCACTATAGGTTAATATTAGTATTACTTTTTATTTGGAGACCATGACTTGATTCATGACTTTCACAGAACAAGTGTGTATAGCTATTCAGTTGTCTGAAGAGTCAAAGGAGTAATTTTATTTTAATCCCTTTATTCTCTTGAATTTTAGGTTAAATTAAAAATACCTTTTGGAAATAAATTACTGGATGCTGTTTGCTTGGCACCTAACAAGAGCTTAACTTATGGGATAATTCTTACACATGGAGCATCAGGAGATATGAATCTTCCTCACCTGATGTCACTAGCATCACATCTTGCATCTCATGGGTTTTTTTGCCTGAGATTCACCTGCAAAGGCCTTAATATTGTACATAGAATTAAGGCATATAAAGCAGTTTTGGTAAGAAAATTTCTTTATAGTTACTTTAAGACTTGGTTTTAAATTCTTAATAAGTTTAAGGCAAATTTTGTTAGCAGTCATTGGTTTCACTGAAAAATCTTTTAATGAGATCCTTAAAAGTTTTCAACAGGGCTGGGGATTTAGCTCAGTGGCACCGTGCCTGTCTCAGAAGCGCAAGGACCCGAGTTCGATCCCCAGTACCTAAAAAAAAAGTTTCCAGCAGTACCTGAAGGCTGTTGAGTGGTCGGATTTCTCTTTTGCCATTTGTTGGTGTCCATGGATATGAATGCTTACATTGTAAACGTTCTCTCAATGATACTACCTAGTGAGGTACTTACGATTTTCTCACTGGAATTATATAACTTTAGAATATAGTTCTGACATTTGGAGTACTTTATCTACCACATTGTGCATATGGAAATAGGACAATGATATATAT